TGGTACCAGACTCGTTTGGGAGGGCAAAAGCTCTGGCTTATTCATCGGTTGGCCACCGCAAGTCATTGTATAGTCCACATACGCATTCATACGCCACTACGATTTTGAATAGAAGCCAAATGCATAGGCACTTCTCCTAACGAGATACAATTCGACCTTGAGAAACCCCATATATGTGCAATAACTTTTATTCGCTCATGTATCGGATGTTCCAAAAGTGATGTAAAAAGATTTTGTACACCGTTGTTCTTGGCAGCCATTTATTTTCTTTAGCATTTTTCTCACTGTTTCCTCCACCTACTTCTAACAACGAGTATTCCTGAATTTGACGTTTTTTCGTTCAATTCTCACTTCACTGTGTCGAGCCGTCAATAGAGTTTGCTAGGACTTACTAAGGTCGGCTCGAAATGCCGATGACAATGGTGCTCATTGTCATTCAAAATGTCATTCTTCAGGGTAACCTGCTGCTCATAATGTATCCGCTTTGTAATCCACATAAACTTTCACAAAATCGACTTTCAGTAGAAAAAAGCGTGAAAGATTGATCAAACATACTTTTTCTTTGAGGCGTGGCACAAAATTGGGCATGGAAATAACGAGTTTTGCTATGCAGGTAAGAAACGGCAGATCATTCTCTTTGTAACTCCTCCTACAGGATCGCTATGAAGTTGTGGAAGCATTTTCTTTCCCATTTGGCATTACTTGAAATTTTAATTGCTTTTTGTTAATCCTTATTCCCTCTTATCGAATGGTGGAAATTGTAAGGACTGCGATTTCCGTTCACTGTGCTTTTTGGTCCGATTCTAATCCATTTGCGTTTGTGATTCAGAAACGCTGGAAATGGGCAACGCAGAATCTGCTGATTCGCTTTCAACGAAACATCGCACCCGGTCACAATCACCAGTACGTGAACCAGGAGTAGTACGGTAAGTGGTCCTACCACGATTCCCCATTACGCCGTTTTGGTAGAAACTGTGATGTATACATATGGAACCTGCCTTCATTTATAAAGATTAACCTCTTCTCTGTACGAAAGATCTCTAAACTTCCATTCCAAGAGGCATTAGGTCCAAATTCCTTTTACTACTGCTAAAGGTGGCTACCGTTTGGAGCTGAATCTTATGCAGTCTTTTCTACTCAGGGCCCACGCAAAACGTCGAGTTCTCTCGTACCACTTCTGGAATCGCTTGACGCCAACAGCTGAGTGCTCTTTGTTATTGGAACAAAGGCAAAGGCGCTCCAACATGCTGACGATTCTTTGCCTTCTTCAGAGGCAACGAAGTGGAAGCACACTTGTCTAGGAGTAAAAAGTGCTGTCTCAAGAATCAGCTGATTTGCACAAAGTATAGGATTCCGGAGTCCTCTCAAATACTGTGAAATTGTGATAAAAGGACGAATTCATGGCGCATCTTGAAGACGTAGATCAACTCTCTGGCTTAATTATTGCATTAATGAATGTGCAAGACGGCTATGACGTGCTCTGAGGACAAGATAGAAGTAGAGGACCAGGCTCTTAACAAAGATCGATCCCTTCGGTATAAGCCATGCGATCAGCTTTCTTTCTCGATCAAGATTTTTCTTAATTACGGGGTAAACTGCAAGAGGGGCCCTCTTCGATCAGCTGCTGAGTTTTGAAGACATCGGTGGCTGCACTTTCCTTGTTAAGAAACCGTCGCCTACATTGACAGTAGGTGTGGCAGAGGAACTATGGGTCCGGTCATTTTGAAAGACTGATTCGTTCCAGAAACTGAGATCAAGGTTCTGACAAAAGCGAAAAGTTGAACGAATCAGTCCAAAATCGGGTAGCCTGAGTTACAGTACCTCAGACTTTTTCATGATACTCTTTCCCATGTGTCATGAAAAGAAATCTGCTCGAGCAAAACAGGAAAAGCGACGTTCTCAGTAGACATATAGGGTTGATTTCCTGTTACTGCATGGCACTCATTTGAAAAAGACTTCCTGTAAGTGCAGGGCACTTAAGGGCAATGAACTGATGACGTTAGCTTCTTTTTTCCCAAAAAGGAAAGAACCCCTACTAGCCATTCCAGCTATGGTGCACCCATCATATGTAATTAATTGAGCATAATTTAGAAAATGACGCATTAGAATTTTGAAAAATGGATGACCACTTCAAAATGGTGTTCATTTACGTCAGAAGGGTGGATGATCAGCTGTCACTGAGAGGCTGGGCTCATCTTGTACCCTGATCTCGGCTGAAGACATTCGAAAATTCCATGGTAATCGAATTTGATACAATAGCATGCGCCACTCATTCGACTCCCCCTCCCTATATGTACCAGTGCTGGGAAGGCATCAGTTCTTGTAAGAGGAGTGTCCAGGGAGGATGGGGAAGGGATCAACCCATGATCCAAGGTTTTTAACACCGTAGTCGAATCTTGCATCGATTCTTTCCGCAGTGGAACAAGAAGCAAGTTTTTGGAATTGCAAGAGCTCAATCCCGAACTTGCGGTATGAGAGCTAACAACAACCTCTTCAGCGTTATCGCAAGGTAGCCGATTTGTAAGCAAAACTCTGGCCCTAGAGGGAGATCGAAACGTGCCAGTGCTTCCCGCCACGTCGTGTTACCCTACACTGCGTTACCATTCCGGGTATCTCTTCTTGTTCTGTTCATGAAAAACAGTAAGTTCCGTGGGAAGAATGGAGGAGAATGGAGGTTCAACGATTGATGAATTCGGTATTTTCTTCATAGCTTCGTTCAATGCACTGTTACTACCTAGCGAAGTGGAAATGTTGAAGTATCCACCACCCTTAGGGTCCCAACTGAGCNGTATCTCTTCTTGTTCTGTTCATGAAAAACAGTAAGTTCCGTGGGAAGAATGGAGGAGAATGGAGGTTCAACGATTGACGAGTGCGGTGTTTTTTTCATAGCTTCGTTCAATGCACTGTTACTACCTAGCGAAGTGGAAATGTTGAAGTATCCACCACCCTTAGGGTCCCAACTGAGCCTTCATCTTCTCTCAACATAACATAAACTGTTCAATGGAGCGTCAATGGAATGGAAGGGTTTCTATCCACCATTGTAGTGACTGAACGCTAAAAAAGGAGTGCAACTGTCAAGTTACCCAGGCCGTTAAGTGAAACTACCGTAAAATAACGTGTAACTTGTGACATATGTCACGGACCAAACATTCCATTTCATGGCCATTTGCTCTTCGATGCATTCTGCTGGAAAGAAACCATGTCATCTGTATGTCGCGCCCGAATGTCAGCACCGATATTCCGAGGGTAGCCATCAGATTCAGAATAAGATTATCCTTAAAAACCAAGGAGAAAAGGCGTCTTTCTAGTTGCTGCTACTCTTTGAAGCGAAAGAATCACTGCCGTGGAATTAGGTGTGTTGGCCGTAAATATGCCACCCCCGTCATACAATATGTATTCCGTGTCTGTATTACCGTAGGATTTGAGATCTATTTTCTTGTTTTCTTTCATTTTGTGGAAATGGCTCAAAAGTCCGGGGCAATTTCAGTATGCCATCTGTACCAACAGCAGGCGCCCGATGCATGACCGAACGGCCACCACGGCGGTCGAAGACGTGCCGAAGCCGGTAAGTGAATTTTTGGGTACGAGACAACTCGTCCAACGATGCTATTCGTTCAGGAATTCTCGAAAAAAGGTGGTATGCAGTGTAACCGGTCTAACGCTACATCAGAAAGCATTACTAACGCGGAAATGGAATCGAATGGAATCTGGTGAGGAGTTGTTTGACCATTTCATCTTCGTCAAACTCTCAGTGGATCAGTCATCACTGTCATGCGAGTATGACGCATGAATTTGCTCGAAATGTCACTCAACAAGGCCAGCTGTCCCTTTGCTGTCTTTTTTTTTGTCTACGTTACATCCGGGAAAACTTTTGAATAACAAGGGTGATGCACTGCTGCAAAACCGATGCCCTCTGAACATTTCCGGGTACTTCCAACTAGTATCAATCCATCTCCTTTTTTGTGTAATTTTCAGTGGCAAGTAATTATACCCAATTTTAGCCACAGTGTACGAACTGGGTAGACGGATGTTCGAGTCAATTTTCACAGAAAATCCTCATTATCTGGCTTATTTGGATCTCAAGGGAGAGCCAAATTGGAGAAATCATATCAACTTCAAAATTCATGTACAGGTAAGTAGTAATTTAATTGTTTGATGGGCGGCAAAACGGTCAAAGTTAAAGCGATCTCCTTCTCCGACTTCGGTTGATCTTACTGATGGGTATCCCTAATCGACGGTAAAAATGTTCTAGATGGGTATATCACTATAATGGTGTTTGTATAAACGGATTTAGCTTATATAAATAAATTTTATTGGCTGAATAAACAACAGCTTCCAAAACAATTGCCTCGGGCCATCTGGGAAACAGGTAACCAGGGCAGGAAATGGTTGGGAAGTAAAGAAGTAAAGAAGTAACGGGCTATAAAAACTTCAAAGAGCTACCCATCGTGGAAACCGGCCAAATCTATGCCTTCAAACAGTGAAAGTGAATAAACTCCAAGGTGTGGAATCTGGATCCCGAGCAGCAAGGCCCATGTGGAAGTATGAAGGAGAGTTTTGGACATGAAGCGGTTGTTCCAGTAATTGAAGCGGAACCACTATCGCGTGCATGCTCGTGACCGTGGGGATTCATGTGTGGATTTCTCCACTCTATATTTTAAAAGGATGGATGGCTCTGGTCTCGTCAAAAACTGATTCGAGACCTGATTCCTGGAACACCGAGCTGCACTAATGCAACCTGGTATTTCTTCATCACTGGCTTATTCAGCGTTCTTTCCCTAGTAATGGAATTTGCCGGAAATCTCCCGATTCATGAAAAAACGAAAATCATATTTCAGGCTTTTACCTTCGGAGCTGTGTGGGCGCCAAATTTCCGTATCAAATCCAATCTGTCGCATAGCTATGAGGGGAACGTTATTTATAGTCTGCCCACACACGGACCGAGCAAAAACTCCTCCGCAGAATTTTTTCTGCTGTCAGACTTTCCGAAAATAGCCGACAGGAGGAAACGCTCCTTCAGGGCATTTTCACTATGTCGCGGATTTTCAGAAGGGATGGTTCAAGGGCGCACTTGCTTGTCAGTAGGAAATAATCGTAAAACGACAAGAAACAAAGTCATTCATATCGTAGTCTCAGCCAAATCCTACCCTTATGACCTGAAGCGGCCTCTCTCATCAAGCTCAACCACTGTAACCAAGAACGATTCACGAGAAGAGTCTCTGGACTGGAAAAATGCTGCAAAACAGGGGCCCATCCTCATTCTCGCAAAGATTCAAGCTGCAAATTTGGTCAATCTCAACGGATGCTGATGTGTCGTATGTACTCTCATATGCACTTCATCCTTCAATCAGCTAGATCTCACATGTTCCTGTGATTACATTCAGCAGCTACTGTGGTGAAAGCAGCGGCAGGTGGTAAAACAGTGATATCTGCTGCTCCCTCCATGACACCGATTTTTCCCTACTTTTTTTGTGAATTATGGGGCAAAACCACTGAATGGAACATCGAGTTGTCTTCGCGGTTTTTTTCATATGCCAAATAAATGATCAGATAAAAAATGAGTACGACTCGGCATGAAATTCTTGGGCACGGCGGCGCGTCCTCAGAATGGACTCTGAAAACCGAGCATTTCAGTCTTTCCTAAACTCAATACTTTCAGCGATTTGTGACAGCCATGTCGGAAGCGATGAGACGTCTTCGCGATCCGTCCACCTCATACGACGTCCTACGAGACTTTGGTGCATCCTATGCCGTCTATCCAAAGCGGGTATCTGCCGTGTACTTCGAACGCTTAGCAAATGCACTTAATCAGACGGCCACTCAACTACAGGAAGGCGACCATCAAGGCATAGAAGTTCGTTCCATAATTATTAGTAGTTCTTTACCAGTTTACAATGAAGGCTGAAAGGCTGAGGCGACTAACCAAGCTCCGCTATTTGAATCAGGTTCATTTACCCTTAATTCTATGCACCTCTTCTTTTACCTCCCGTCTCATCTACCTCTTTTCGCGGACCTTTCAGGATGGGTATAGGTTTTGCCATGAGGATTTGCACTTTTGCTCCTGGCTGCATAATATTGGTTCGATTTTCTTTTTTGTTAGAGAATTAGCACTTCAGTAGGTATTGGATTGTTGAGTGAAAAGGAAGGGAAGATTTCGCGATTTAGTGGAATGACATGATAAGATCTAAAAAAACGAAGCTTTTACAAAAGAAAAAACTTTATGATAATAAAAGCTGGTAATCAATAATAATAAAAAATAATGCTAACAAAAACGTTCTAATTATAACAATAATTTGTCTAAATAATAACAACAAGAAAACTTTCTAAGTTCCGAAGGAGTGAGGTACAGCTATAATTAAAAGGCTGAAGTGGTATAGTGGCAAGTAGCGCGCTATCACATACGCATGGTCACGGGTTTGAGTCCCGAGTAGATATCGGTCTGTTGATTGGTACTAGACTCGTCTGTAAGGATAGAAGCACTGATTTGTACATCGGTTGTTCATCGCAGGTTATTGCATAGGCCACATGTGCTTTCAATAATCCACTACGATTTGAATGGAAGTCGAGTGCGGGGCGCGTCCCTGAGACGGAATTGATCAACGCTCAAAGACTTTCTCCTTTATCCTTTTTGTTGTTGTGCTGACGTTTCAAAAGTACAACTTCCATGTCTGAGCGGCTACTGCGAGACATTTTATTACCCAGTTATCCACTTTAATTCCTCCGGGATTTGGCGCGGAAGTCAAACATACGGCGTAATCCCCCGGGGTCCAATAAAATCCCTACAGCTAACAACTTACAGACCTATTCTATGAGTAAAAAGGACTTTAACGAGAATGAAATGAGTGATATATAATTCACATTCATCATAACAAGTAATAATAGTGTTAGTACTAATCAGCATAAATTAAATATGAACTCGATCGCGAGATTAATCTCTCTTTACTTGAATGAGGAGAAATTTGTTCTGAGAAGAGTAAATGACTAGGGGTTACTTGGTGGACCCAAAGACTATTCGAGTTACTCCTCTAGCGTCACGCAACCGCAAAATGATATCAA